ATGAGAAAGTAATGAAAAGTATTTCAATAATTTTTACATTAACTACTTGCTGACAAGATGTTTTGGATATTTGGAGTTAAAAAGAATATAATACTAACATTGATTTCACCTGTTTCCTCTCACTTTTTTTAATGTGGTAATCAGAAAATTTTAAATTATACATTGGCTCACATTTACAATGTGCCTTATATTTCTATTGGATGGTATTGCTATAGTATCTTAACCTTCTAATTAGGGTTACTTGAACCAATTATGCTTTTCCTAGATTGTGTTAGATACATCTGTATGTAAACAAGAAAAAGCATAACTGACACCTAAATAAAACAATTAAGCAGTATGCCATGAGAAAAATCTTATTTGGTGTTTTGGAATAGAAACGTGCATTAAAATTCAGTGTGGATTATAAAATTTTTCTCTAGATTTAGAAAGCATGAATTTTCTTTTAAATTATTTTAATGTCTTTACACAGATATAGGTGTATATAATTGTATGTGATTACATTAATAATCAAATCCTATATCATTTTAAGTGTTTTTATGCTTAACTGTCCCTTTTCCCATATCGGATTCTCCATCTTCGTCTCCACAGCATGTTGACAAAATGAGCAGTCTAATTTGTAGTCTTCATATATTTCCAAGCTCAGATAATCATTTATGTACATTCGTGTATTGGCATATATGTGTGAGTATGTGCATAAATGTATTCGTCATTTTTGCTTTGCAAAAAAATAAGTTCATATAATGCACATTGTTTTAAATCTTTCCCTTTTCACTTATAGCTCTTTGTGGGCATCACTCCAAGTCAACTGGTAGTGTTTTAACTTATTATTTTCAGTGTCTGCAGAATATTCCAAGATGTGAGTACAATGTAATATATTCAGCTGCTTTCCTATTGATGGGCAGTTATTTGTTTTTAGGTTTTATTTCTGTTTATTTGCTTGTTTTTGGTCATTACAAGCAAGACTTTCATAAACACCGTCATACATATTTCATTTGGACTTGGACTTTTATTTCTGTGGGAGAGATTACCGGGAATGATACTGCTGTCAAGACAGTTATACAAAACACACACACACACACACACACACACACACACATTATAAAATGTTATTAAATAAATATTGTTGTTTTGCTTTTAAAAGTGATATGCCGCATTGTAGGTCCATGACAATGGTAAGAATAAGTGAATCCCAGGCAAGGAGGGTACTCTTGCTCTTTTCTTGTTTTGCCAGTGTGGTGAGTGTAAAATAATACTCTGCTACTGTAATCACTGTTGCCATATACTAGTGATTTGGGCCTTTTTTTTGTTGTTGCCAGTTGGCCATTTGTATTTGCTCTTCTATCAGCTGAAAATTTGAAGCAGCAGCTTTTCATAGAATTTTCCAACATAGTAGAAGTATTCTCTTGAAATGTAGCAATGTGACTGAGAGACTGAATTTTAACTTTTGTTTAATTAATTTAAATATAAATGACCACACTTGTCCACTAGTATTCACAGTGGACCATGAAGGGATTCTTATCGAATTTTCTATCTATTGATATTTTTTCTTTATCGTGTAATTATCAGACAGCACTTTCTATATTATAGAAATTAACACTTTGTTTATCATCTATATTATATTTCTTTACATTTAGCTTTTGGTTATATATTATATTTTATCTTTTGAAAGGATTTGGAGTGATATCGCCAAATTTTATACATAGATAATGTCTTTTAAAATTTTCTCAAACTTTGGTATGTATTCATGGTTTTATAATAAGTTTACTAAGGAGGGTGAGAAAAAGAGAAAGTATCTTGCATAGTGCTTTAGTATATTTTCTTAACCATATAAAGTATATTTTAAAACTTTGCTTTTTTATATTTTAATATTTACTACTGAACAAATGCCATAGTTTTCAGACGGCTTCTTAATTTCTCTTTTTATTACTAAAAATGGACCTTATTTGCTCACTTTGATAGTTTGCACCTGTGTCCTTTTACTAATGCTATTAATAACCTGTTAGGGTTTTAGATGAAGCAATATAACTGTGATATAGATATTCAATGTTTACTAATTCCTTATAATGTCTTCTTGACAATTACTCGTGTATTAGAATATATTGGATAACAAAAACAACCTATGGTTTTATTGTTCTAAAAATTAAACTACCACATAAGCTAGAAACTCATATGTACCAGATTGCCGAATACTAAATTGAGGTTACATGGTGTTAAAAAAGCAAAAAAGACAATCTCAGACTTACACGATTGATTAGAAATCTTTCGTGTGGGAGCATGACAAGTGGATGAAAGTATATAAGATGAAAGCAGAATGGATTCAGATTTAATCTCTTTTCTAACATATAGTAAATTTATGTGTGTCAGTTAAGGAAACGTTATATTTTTATTGCATACAAGAAGCAATAAAAATAGGGCAGTTGTAGTTTTTTTCACACCAAGAAAATTGTGAATGTTTTCACATATGTCACCAAGATTTTACTTGTGCAGAAGACACAATATTGCAAATTTCCTTGAGGGTGCAATGCACTGTTGATTCAACAGACTTTCCACTTATACCATTTCACCAGAATAATGTTTCTTCATTTATTTTGAGTTAATGGATTGACATTTACCTCACATTTCAATGTAGTTTCAATGTTAAAATTTTTTAAATTTTTATAAAACAAAAATATTGCTTATTGAAGAAAATTTAGAAAATCCAAAAAATAATAAAGTAAGAACTGAAAACTAAAGACAAAATATGCAGAAAAGGCATGAAGAATGCAATAAAACTAAACTACAACTTCAAATTACAGAGGTAATTTTTTAAGTGATCATTAGAGTGTACAAAGGATGATAATTTTATTTTTATACAATGATTTGGAATATTGTGCATTTTAAATTTATTTATTTATTTATTTTTGGCTATGTCGGGTCTTCGTTTGTGTGCGAGGGCTTTCTCTAGTTGTGGCAAGCGGGGGCCACTCTTCATCGTGGTGCGCGGGCCTCTCACTATCGCGGCCTCTCTTGTTGCGGAGCACAGGCTCCACATGCACAGGCTCAGTAGTTGTGGCTCACGGGCCTAGCTGCTCCGCAGCATGTGGGATCCTCCCAGACCAGGGCTCGAACCCGTGTCCCCTGCATTAGCAGGCAGATTCTCAACCACTGCGTCACCAGGGAAGCCTGAATAGTTAATTCTTGAAGGTCATAGTTGAAAAATTGTTATAGGAAAAAAAAGCAGGAATAGGTTACCCGAAGTACATCTTTGACTGTGTATAAAGTGTAAGATCAGTAAGGTCACTTTCATTTGTTGAATATAAATTTTTTAAAAATCAGCCTTAAGCCAAAAGCTCTAAAGTTGGAGAGGAGGTGCTCCTGGTTCCTGGGAGTTTAATGAATTCAGGCTCTCAAAGAAACTTGTCCATATTTATGATATTATTTGGCTTTTCTCTCCTTTGCCTGATTGCCTTTTTTAAATGTTTAGTCCTAAAATAACTTAAATTCTTTGGGCTTCTTTTGTTTTGACATTCTCATTTTGCAGCTGCTAAGTATTGAATTGTCTTAGCCAGCTGAGGGTATATAAACTGCATGTTATAACAGCATTGCTTAACTAGACTTTGTTAACTGTTCTGCTAAAATATTAAATTTGCATGAGGTAATAACACTAATGCAAAAGAGAAACCACTTCTAAGTGTGACAGAAAAAAATCTTGGTTTTCAGGAGTAGCCCTTGTTGCAAATACTTTGTTTTTCCACCAAGAACATATGAACGTCAGGTCAGATATTTTAAATCTTGATTCTTGGTTTAAAAAAAATACAGGCCACTAACTTATCCATAGGTGTTATATATTTTTATGTTGATTTATCCTAGTAAGGCATAAAATTTTAAATTCATTTTATTCCGGTTGTTTACTTATAAAAATAAAATATGAAAACTCAAATTTACCAAAGCCCAAACATTCCAGGGAAACATACTTAGGCATCTTTTCATAAATCTAAGAGCCTGGATAAAAACAAAAAAATTCAATTTCCAGCCCATTTGAGAAATTGTGACATGATGTAGACGCAGCCTAAACTGTGTTTCTTTAAAGTGGTGCCACATCCATTTCTCTATTCACCGTCGAGTTACTGGAAGCCCAGCAGGTGTCAGAGACCTTACTAAGTGCCGGGGATACAGTTATTAAGTACTGAAGACATAAGAGTATTGATTCTTACTCTCACAGAATTCACTTTATTATTATTATTATTTTTTTTAATCCCCAGAATTGATTAGATGATTCCTGCTACTGGGAAATGACCTACAGAGCCTGTTGGCGAACTTTCACCGGTGAAGCTTTGCTAGTTTGCATCAGTGTGACAGCAATCTAGAGAACATCACATCATTATATACTCTAGCCTAGTAGCTAACAATGCAGGCAGGAACTCAAATAATCACAAATATTTGTTAAAATGTTGGCCTGGGATTCTCTTTGAAACTTGTGATAATCCATCAAAATCACAAAAGTCATGGTTGTTTCATTTTCTCAGATAATTCAATCACAAAACATTTTAAGATTTTCAAGATTTCAGTTTTATCATTCTAAATAAACTTGCTTTTATCTCCCAAGAATTTTACCCTCTTATCTTCTGCCAAGTAATAGGCATGTCTGCCTATCAAGTGTTTCCATCTTTTGAGGGAGCAATCAGTGACCGGTTTTGTCTGAAATTAAAGGAGGAAAGAAACCAAAAGAACTAGTAGCTGAAACAATAAGGGTTTAAAAAACAGCAATCAAATGTGACCTTTCTGCAGACTAATGTAATAAACAATTTTGCAAGTATACAATGTAGGAGAAAAATAACTGATTACTGATAAAAATGTGAGCTTTGCTTTTTTATTTACAAACATCACCATATGAACTGTGCATATTCATTATACTCATTGAAGGCTAGGTAATGTTAATGATTTATTTTTCTTGGAGAATTAAAAATGATTACATAAAACTTTATACTGAATAACTAAAATATACACGTTTTATTTTTCAGTAAATTCTATGATGAACGAGAAACCTTCATATTCTCCCCAGTGTTGTTATATTTACTCACACCCAAATAATAATTATAAAATGCTTGGCAAAGAAGAAAGCTGGAACTTTTACAGTTACATAAGAAGGCTGACATCCCTAAGTCACCGGTAAGCACCAAGGAAATGAAAACATATTTCTGTATCATTCTGAATTCCTGACAACTGTACAAAAGTAGGGTCAAATGGTTTGCCTCTACATTAGGAACACATGTCTATTGCTCATGGAAGAAAAAACAAGCATCTTTCTCGTGGTAAATTTGGAAAGATAACAGAATAAATTAACATCACACTAATTTCACTATCCAGATAGAACCACTTTTAACATTTTTGGTGTCTCCCTGTGACGTGTGAGCGGTGGGGTGTGGGTGGAAGAATATGTATTTATCTTTGTGATTTATTTTTACAAAACTGGAAACAGAGGTTATATACAGTTGAAAATGTTAATTTTTATTAACATGTTCTGAATTATTTTCCAAGTCCTTAAACATTCTTCAAAAATAGGATAACAATGTCTTCATGATATTCCATCACATAACTATATCATTGTTTAATTAATCTTATTTTTGACATATAGGTTACTCATGAGGTTTCATCACTATAAACAATAGTGTCCTAAATACCTGTTACTAAAAATCCTACAAATGAGCTTACTAGCTAAATAATGGGAACTTAAAATTACCATTTTCCCTGATTAAGATTAATTATATTTTTCCTGTATAATATATGATAGATGCACAGAAAGCAAATTAAAATAATCAAAATAATTCACAATCCTATCCTCTTCTCAGTTTTTAAATTTATATATACTATTCATTTTTTAAAACATGTGATCCAACCTTACCTAAGATAGGAACAGTCTTATTTTTGTTCCAGGTTCACACTGCCAAATTGCTTTCTAAAATGATTGCACTTCTGTACACTGTTCACAACTGTTGTTATATTCTTAGCTAAAAATAAATCTGTTATTATTACAAAATCAGAACATGTTCATTTTAGAAACATTTAAAAATGCACATAAGCAAACTATAGAAAATTTAAATAACCATCATCCCATTACAGTGAAATGGTCATTGTCATATCTACTTCCAGGCAGAGGAGAAATAGTTGCTAAGAGGGTAAACTCTGGAGTTGGGGTGCAGTTTCTGGCTCCATTTGTAAAAACAGTGGGGCCTCCTTAGTTGTGCCTTCGTTTCCTTGTTGAAATGGGGATAATAAGTGTCTAATTCATAGAACGGTTTTGAGGGTAGAGTGGTTATTATATGTGACATGCTCAGAACAGTTCAAGGCCCAGAATAAGTGTCAGTCAGTGCTAAATGTCATTACATCACAACGTCTTCAGAGGAGAGGAGGTGAGCCTTTGTTGTGAGCATGACATCCTGGGTCAAGAGCAGCCCTTACTTGGGAATGTGGAGTAAATACCCCCATGGTCAACAAGGTTTCTTCACTCTGGCCCTTCAGGGCTAAGGGAATTGTCCAGCAAGGGCTGAACCACAGTGATCCTCTCTCCCAACCTCATGGAGTTTCAGCAACACAGGGACAGCTGAATATTCAGTCCAAGACTTAAAAGACGCCTGTGTACGTCTCAGAACTCTTTCCCCATGTAGCCCTCCTCTCTGGTACTCGCTCTCTCACGACCTCCAGCTGTCCATCCTCCCAAATCATCCTTGCCTCCACAGCCCAAAGAGCCCACCGTGCTCAGCTTAGGTTTTGCTCTTGCGTTGGTTTGGCAATGTGCCTCCAGACACAAAGTGGGGCACCTGTGGGGCTCCCCTCATCTGTCTCCTTTCTGCCTGCTTTCCAGCGTCTGAAAAAAATTATTTCACATTTGTCCAGTTTTCCAGTTGTTTACAGTGAGAAAGCAAATCTTCTACCACTGTGGAATAAAATGGAAATCTCACATAAGGTTTTAAGTATTAAAAAAAAATCACAAGAAGATATTACAAATAGCAACACCAATAAGTATTCATCTGTATTATCGTTTTCATGCCTAACTAATAGTCAAGTTCATGGGGATTTAGGGTTTCATCTCTCTTAAAACACATGTATCAGTTTGGTTCATTATAATAATATTCAGTGTATCTATCACAGGGACAGTGTTAATTATTCCTCAAATTCAGTCATGGTCCCACCTGAATATTCTTCACTTAAAGACTAAATTATAAAGTTACCTACCACCTGCAACCCTTATATAAATTAACAAGGGGAAAGAAGATAGGAAAGTACTAGTATAGAGATGATAGATAGATTGATAGATGATAGAAAGATTGATAGATAGCTAGGTAGATAGATGATAGGCACCCCTATACACATAAAGAATTAGCAAGCAAGAACGTGGTACATATGCAAACACATATGTATCCAACAAGCAAGAAAGCAGTGATTCTCAGTAGCTGCCACAGTCCTAGTTTCTGTAACTGAGGACTAACTTCCTTCTTTAATGTCCCCTTTGCCCCTTCCTGGAATCTTAGCTAGCTGGTTTCTTTAACTGTTGGAATAACTAGAACTTTTACTCTTGAAGGTTCATTTCATTCTTTCGTAAAACTTCCATGGCCCTGACTTGTTTTGATTGCTATAGTTTTCCATTAACTTTTCCTTTACAATGTAGTAGTTTATGAGATGTCCCAGGGAATCCCTGGATCCTAGACCAGTTCCTCCCCGCCCACACTGTGGAGCAGCCACCAATACCTCATGACTTCTTTTAACATAACTGCTCAAAGGTTACAGATTTCATAGAATCCTCTTTGGTTTTATGTCTCCCACTTGTTTTTGGAGAGAGGGCAAGAGGTCTTCATTTGTGTAAGGGATGCTTTCATCTTATTAGGCCAAATAATCCAACTGTTGTTGCTGTGTGGAATTGCAAATGTGTGTGGACAGTTGTGCATGAACCCTGAGTATCCAGCATCGTGGCTTGTGCTGGTGCTATGTTATTGTGCTTCCCCTCGAATCTTCCCTCGGTTCTGGAGCTACTGGAGAGAAAGTGCAGACCCCACTTCTTTGCTGGCTAGCTTGCTGTTAGTTTATGCCAGCAGGGCTGCTAGAGAGAAGAGAGAGACAGGAGGAGGAAGGGGGCCTTCTGCTCCCTAGGTGCTATTTGTCTGCCAGTTTCCCCCCATAATGACCCTTCCGTTTGGCAGCAGCTCTGGGTTCCAATAGCAGCTGGTTCTATTTCCAGATGTTTTCCTCACTGTCAGACCAGCTACATCACGCTCTTCAGAAACACTAGCCCCAGCTTACAGGCATCTCGTTCTCCTCAGACGTCTGGACCCCAGTTCTGTGAGCCTTTGTCTGAGATCCTGGGGTTTCAAAAGCTGTCTGTCCATCAGCACCATTCCTTAGAGGTCTGGGTCCCAGATTGGCACAGTCTTCCCTGAGCTCACGAAGCGCCAGCCCCAGCTGGACAACCTCCCGGCTCAGATGTCCGGCCCCAGTTCACAGACCTCCTCAACCTCAACCTCCTTACCAGGAGTTCCAGGTCCTGATAATGCCGACCTCTTCTACTTTCATCACCCGCTCGTGGAGTGTATGTCACTGTGGCACCTCGCCTGTTCCTTTTTGTCTTCTAGTTCTCCAATTCCTGTTTAGCCGATATCCTGTGTTAAATTATCTCTGGCTAAAAAAAAAATGGGGCTTTTGTTTTCCCCAGTCGATTCTGCCTGATACAGAGGTCGAGCCCCATAATTTGAAAGCATATTATTTAGAGCAATCTTTAAACATAACCATATCACAACTATACTAAGTTTTCCTTATTGATACTAAAAATGCTTCATAATTTTTTTACAGTAGTCTCTTTGGAAACAAAACTGGGTCATATGACACCCCCTATTCCTTAGGCAATTATGTTAATAGATATTATAAGAACCAGCGACGGACTTTTTCTCAGATTGTGGGTAGCAGACAGATAATTAACTTTTTTTCTTACACCAAATACATTTCTAATAATAATATAATCGTGATATCACATTGGGTTTTTTGTTTGTTTGCGGTACGCGGGCCTCTCACTGTTGTGGCCTCTTCCGTTGCGGAGCACAGGCTCCGGACACGCAGGCTCAGCGGCCATGGCTCACGGGCCCAGCCGCTCCGTGGCATGTGGGATCTTCCCGGACCGGGGCACAAACCCGTGTCCCCTGCATCGGTAGGCGGACTCTCAACCACTGTGCCACCAGGGAAGCCCAGCATTGGCATTCTTGAAAACCCACCAACTGATTTCCATCACACTACTTTAGTGGATGGATTTTTAAATCATGGCTCATGTAACAAAAGTAATGATTGAGAAATCCCGAAAGGATTCACAGGATTCTAGGAACTCCATAGCCAAGGATAGCACTAACGAAAAACCATCTCCCTCTAACTTCTCTGGGACTTATCCAGGTCTTCAGGGCTGTGAGTAAAGCCAACAATTCCACGAATCCATTCTCTACATTTAGAACACTCTCTCCTCAAATTTTGTGCCCAGCGTAACACTGTATCTCCTGGCTGTATATACAGAGAGGAGGAACACAATGTCAGTTTATAGTCGACTCGGATAGTTTATTTATCTCCACAGCTCTTAACTGCTGAACTGTCAGCCCAGTGAGGAGAATAACTGGGAGGGGATAAAGATCAGGTTCACCAATGGCAAGTGTAGCGAATGGTGCTGAAGTTTGCATCTGTGGCAAAGGCTGGCTCATGGGAACTGGGGTAATGGGTAAAAACATTCTTTTGGCAAAAAATGCTGCACTAAAAAAGATAAACTACCTATCTTTTCACACCACATTAAGTTATTTTTCTTCCACATTGATACACCTCTAAGCCCACTTCTGGACTCTGGCAATCTAATTTTCTTCAGCACAAATACGTGGAGGTTTGCCTCAACTTTGCTTAGTTCTTGAAACTGGTTTCATGGTATTCTATTCCTAAATCTTTTATCAGAGGGCTTCTTAGATCACCTCTTCCAATATGATCAACTGATCAATTTTCTCTCTTTTACTAACGTTTTAATTATTTTGCTTTCTCCCAACAAAGTGCTTCAACTTCCTCCTCTCCTCTCTTTTTTATCTTCTGAAGCAATAAATCTCCATTTCCTCATGTGTAAAATAGTAGTATTGGGGGGAGAATGGATACATGTATATGTACGGCTGAGTCGCTTTGCTGTGCACCTGAAACTATCACAACATTGTTAATCGGCTCTACTCCAATATAAAATTAAAAGTTAAAAAATACTATAGATTTCTGGATTTTATGCCCTTGTCAATGACAAGAAAACATTCGATGAGAATTTGTTTTATAATTACCTTTAAGATACTGGATTTAAACTTTATGGAAATAAACCGTAAGAAAATATTTTTAAATGTTTCACTACACAAAAAGTCCTAGCACCTGAGTCATCATATCCATGTTCTTTAACCGGCTAATTCAGTACGAAATTTTGACCTCAGAAAATATACTGTCGATTTTACTTCTCAAAATACAACTACAGGGCTTCCCTGGTGGCGCAGTGGTTGAGAGTCCACCTGCCGATGCAGGGGACGCGGGTTTGTGCCCCGGTCTGGGAAGATCCCACAAGCCGCGGAGCGGCTGGGCCCGTGAGCCATGGCCGCTGAGCCTGCGCGTCCGGAGCCTGTGCTCCGCAACGGGAGAGGCCACAGCAGTGAGAGGCCCGCGTACCGCAAAAAAAAAATACAACTACAGATAGTCTCTAATTAGTGTCCTAGTATATGCCATGTACTTTTTAGGATGGGTCACATCAATAAGGTCAGGAGAAAAGCTAAGCAAGTTGAAGAAAAAGATATTTACCAGATTTGAAATTGTTTTCAAGTTTCCAGACTAATTTATTTTCCTTGTTCCAGAGGCAGTCTTTTAGAATTCCACTTTTACCATGACAATATTGTGGATCCCTGCACAAGCATGGGATTATCTTAAGTTAGTTTATTGCTTAATTAGGTAACTTGAAACGGAAATGGCACTGTGGGCAGCTTGTTTATTTCACATCTTCCCTGCACTCTACCTGGGTCCCCGCTGCCTCTGTTTGTTACCTGGCAGGTGTCTCCCTTTGCAAGCAGGTCACCCCTGATTGCCCACCTAAGAGCAGCTGGTGAGCAGCTAGATGGTTCCCAGTGTCCTCTGTTTTCTGGAATCGATACTATTTAAAGTTGTTTTCTTTCTTTCCTCTTAAGCCCTTTTCACCAGCTGTAGGCAGGCTTCATTCCATGCTGTATCACCCCTGACATTTGACAGAAAAGATAGAATTTCAATGTTATGAAACCACAGCACGCTGCTGCCACTTCTTCCTGCAGGGTGTTCCTGCCCAGTGATTTAACAGACCTGTTTGGACAGGGTGTGAACGTAACAAGGCAAAACTATTGCTCTCTGAAAAGCTGTTGATTTTCTCCCAGACAGAGCTCAGAAGTGTTATGCAAATTAAAGACAAATGCCTTCTTTCTTAGAACCCAATATATTTATTGTGATACTGTCCCTTTACGTGCAAACACAAAAGTCTCTTTGTTACTTGACAAAACATCTAAGCCACAGTGATTGAGGAGCATGTCACTGAGGAGTGTGTCACTAAAAGGCACCTGCCAGTGCACTGGGGTAAGGGATGATGAAGCTCAGTCTCCAGGTGTATACATTTTGAACTAAATTTCAATAACGTAACCAAAATACAAAAAGGGCTCCTTAATATCAATCAGTTCGTAAACTAATAGTTTAATTTTCAATATAATCTGAGCTAAATATTCCCATTCTAAATGCCACATAATACAACATACTTGGATCATGGTTCTATAACCACCTTGCATTATGCTAGAGGAATTATCAGTGCCATTTCTATGCATATTACTAAATCAATCACAACAGTACCTACAGTGAGAGACAAAAGCCAGCACCTTCATGTGCAAAATAAAATGAATATTTTAATATTCATAAAATACTAGGGCCTTTGTCAGGCAATATTTCTGAATATTTTATGTTAAGACAATGCCTACTTATATCTTAGTAAATGCCACATCATAATTTTAAATATTTAATTTTACAGCAGGTAAGTGAAATATTTCTTCATGATATATAGAAATAGCACATACAATAAAAGTGCTAGATCTGCTTTCATGTCAGGAAATCTAAAATAGTTATTTTTCTGAAATGGTCAAGCCGACTTCAAAGTCATTTTTCGTAGGTCAGTAACAATAATAATCATTATTATCATCCTGCCAAAAGGATATATTATATTGTCTGTATAGAAAGTGCCCCAATGAAATTTTTCCTGATATATTTTTTTGTTTGGACATCCAACTAAAAAAAAATGTAATGGCCTTAATATGACATTTTCTAAATTTGAAAGACATGTCTTCAACAATATAAATAATGCTGAGGAAAATAGTATTAGTGTTCCTAATAACAATCACTTGCTTGTCAAATATCCTTGAAGCTGAGTCGGTGCAGCTTTTTGCCCATCTCCTCCAAACGCATACGTCAGATCACACACATCAATCAAGAGGAAACTGGAAGCGTTTCAGTGTTTTATTCAGTTTCTCTACCAAAGTCTGTCGAGGTGGGAGGAGGATATGTAAATCGTCCCCTTTATCAGCCCCGCCCCCAGCTTCCCAGGGACAGCAGCTGCTCCTGTCACTCTCGCTTCCACACTCACCTCTCAGACCTCCAAAACTCTGGCTTTACAATCACTTCCTAACCGCCCCCCCCCGTCAGCCTTCTACCTTTGTGTATCCTACCTGCAGCCTCTCACTGTGTTCCTCCAAGTCTACATAGCGTTCCCAGTCAAAAAGGCTTCTTCCTCCTATTAGCTTGAGATGAGGGAGGGATGTGAGAATGTTTCATGTCTTATTTGTATGTTTCCTATAATATGGACACATTAGCAATTTGAGCACAGGTCATAGGAACGTATCTTGCTTCCTTGTAGTACTTCCTTTCCCTCCCAAACAACTCAGCCACTCCTCAGACCACCAGGATGGTGCACACACACGTAACATCCACTCCTTGAATTAGGAAGTGACACTGCCAAACTCAACTGATTTTGATACATTTTACAACAGTAATTCTCACCTGGGAATGGTATTGACCTCAAAGGGCATGTGGAAATCTTCGTGTCTGTCTGTTTTTTAATGGTATCAGTTGCTCAGGAGCACGATTGACATCTAGTGGCTCCACAGATGCAAAGAATCATGGCACCCGAATGCCAATCACACCCCTTTGAGAAGCACTGAGTCAGAACACTGAACGTTTCATTCTTTGGAACATTCTACCATAGGGCTGGAAGGGATTGGAGAGAGTTAGTTGTTCTTCACGTTGTATTTGATCAGGAGTAAACATAACCTTACAGAATCGGGGAGTCCAGAAGAGGAAACATTGGGAGGATTGGAATCTCAGAGCAGGAGGAGGACCTGAGAGGACAGAGAGGAAGGACACCAGCCGGCTACTATGTAGCGTGGGGAAGCTTCTGAGGAAGGTAAGTAAAAGGACTTACACTTCACCGCCAACCTGATTCAACTAATATTGCTTCTCCTGGAATGGAGGCTCTCCCGGCAGCTACATCCCGATCTTGTACAGTTGCTAAAAAGAGTAAAAGTAGGATCTTGAATAGATATCTGCACTATTCATAGCAGCGTGTTTCACAAAAGCCAAACCATGGAAACGACCTCAGTGTCCACTGACTAAAGAAGATGTGGCATATGTATGTACAATGGAATATTATTCAGCCACAGGAAATCCTGCTATTTGCAACAATGTAGATAAACCTAGAGGACACAATGCTAAGTGAAATTAGCCAGAAAGAGAAAGACAAGTACTATATGATCTCACTTATATATGGAATCTTAAAAAAAAGGTCAAACTCAGAAACACAGAGAGTAGGATGGTAGATACCAGTGATGGAATCAGCAGTGGAAGTTTGGGATGGGAGATGTTGGTTAAAGAGTATAAGCCTTCAGTTATAAGATGAATAAGCTCTGGGCATCTAATAGAAGGCATAGTGACTATAGGTAATAATGCTGTATTTTGTACTGGAAATTTGCCAAGAGTAAACATTAAGTGATTCATTACACGGGAAAAAAGGTAACTGTGAGGTGATGGATGTGTTAACTACCCTGATTACCTAATTGTGGTAATCATTTCACAACGTATACATACATCAAATCATCACATGTACACTTTAAATACATACAGTTTTGTCAATTAGATCTCAATAAAACTGGAAAAAAAGAATAAAAATACATCAAATTCTGTTCTGATCCTCTGATAATACTGGATTAGGGTTGTCTACCCTAATGATTTGATTTGATTACCTCTGTAAAGACCATACTTCCAAATAAGATCACATTCTTATGTGATCCTAAGGGTTAGTACACCAACATATCTTTTGGGGGATATAATCAACCCGTAATAACAAGAAGTTTCTGCATCTTTTTACTTAAGAGTATTTTTTAAATGGAAAACTCCATATAATTTTTAAATTATATTTAAATTATTTTACCTGTTACTAGAAGGTTAGTAATTTTTAAGTAATCTCAGGAGCCAAAAGTTCTGAAATATTATTTTGTCCTATTCTAACTTTACTGTGTACACAGATGGAGGGTATCCTTGTAAAATAAAAACCAAAAATAACTAAAAACAAATAAAATCATATTCCAAGTATTCCAACAAAAATTCCAATATTTTAGTTGGGGGTGGAGGTGGAGATGAGATATTCCTAGAAGTATAAGAAACAGTTCATTTTAAAAAATGATTAAATTGACAGAAATAAAAGTTACTCTTTTTTTTTTTTTTTTTTGCGGTACGCGGGGCTCTCGCTGTTGTGGCCTCTTCCGTTGCGGAGCGCAGGCTCAGCGGCCATGGCTCACGGGCCCAGCCGCTCCACGGCTTGTGGGATCTACACGGACTGGGGCACGAACCCGTGTCCCCTGCATCGGCAGGCGGACTCTCAACCACTGCGCCACCAGGGAAGCCGAAGGTTATTCTTAATAAAGTGTTGGGGTTTATTTGCATGTATGAAATAAAATTATTCGACAATAAACGGGAATTAAAGCAAATTAAAAAGAGAGAATTAATGCACTAGAGAATGGATCTGACCAAATTGTCCAGAATACAGGACAGATGGACAAAGAGATAGAAAGTATAAAAGAGAGGTTTACCTAAAACACTCATTTACAATAGAAGGCTGAATAAATATTGTGATCTCTAAGAAAAAAAGGTTAGGAGACATGGAGGAAGGAGTGAGAACATCAGAAAAAATATCAACATATCAAAGAATCCCAGAAGAAGTTTAAAAAAAAAAAGGCAAATGGATCAGTGGAAATATTTGAAGAGATAAAAAATTGAGAATTTTTCAGACCTGTGAAAGAAGCAAACCCACAGATGAAGAAGCCCAATGAAGCACAGGAGGGATAGTAAAAACACACACACACACAAAGACAAAGAATATTTTCTTGCTATATAGCTAATTGATTTTCTTGTTAGATATACTATATTTTGTTTGCTAATTGAAGGTCTCCATCATGTTCGTACCTCTACTAAGATGACTTTTATTTACACATTCCTAACAAATTTTTAAATCAAAATTTATATGCCATCAAATGGAATATTTCTCTTTCATACAAAATAGTTTATCTGATTCCTCTTCCATTTCCTAAACGTACACCTGAAATGACATTAGTTGGTTTTACCTAGGGGTGTAAACTATATTACCTTGATAACAACATAAATGATTTTTTTAAAGATTTCTATTCTTGAGCATTCAATTTTTCCATAATATTTACAAATAAAACTGACTTTTATGATTTCCAGCTCATATGATTTCCTTATCTGTTTCCTACCATTATACTCATAATTTTGACCCATTTCTCAGTGGCTCAGACTTCAAATAATATTTTCAAGGACTGCACATACGAGCTGAGTTTAATGAGTTAAGTATATGTGATTGGCATGGGTGTATTTATTCAAAATTTGTTTTCACTCAGCATTTGTAGGTATCACATCATTATTTTTCTGGTTTGTTAAATAGCTATGAAAAAGCATGCTGTCACTTCACTTGCACTATTTTGTAAATAACTTTTATTTTTAAAACTAAGAATCTAGTAAAGTGGGCAACTGATTATGACTCGGTGTGAATCTTTTCTTTAGTCTTCAACCTCGGTGAGTCTTCTACAAAATCAGATGATAATGCTACTGCATAGCACAGGGTACTCAGTATCTTGTAATAAGCTAATGGAGGAGAATGTAGGAAAAGAATATATATATATTCATATATTTAAAAAATCAGATGATCATGTTTCTCTCAGCATGCAATCCTTTTTTTCCTCTCTATATTTATTACATTTTTCCCTCACTTCTATTTTTTCTTATAAATTGTATAGGATATGTCATATATCCAATATCTTATATCCCATCTTATAACTTTCATCTACTTAATCTTCTTTCTCTCCTTTCTGTGACTGGTCCAGAAATGTGTTTTTTAATTCAGTAATTCAATTTCTGTTACATAAAACCTGTTCTTTAAAATATCGCATTTATATTTTTGCCTTGTTTTAAACCTTTGCTAACCAGCTATTCTCAATTTTTATTTTACTATCTCTATAATGACCTGTACTTTTATTATAGGTAATTTTTCTCCTTGAGAACATGGAGAAATTATGCTGTCATTTTCGTTTTGTAAAAAGAAATCTGTTTCAGAAATCTGGTGTCTCCTATGTTCTTGGCATATGCTTTAATTTCCTTTTGCGGCAATATTTTTCCATACATCCGAACTGGATTTTTCTCCGCTTACTCAACAATACAAAAAGAAGTCTATTTTGATGGTTGACTCTCCTGCCCTGCTCCCTAGAGCGTCTTTCCAGGCAAGAGCAGCCTGCAACAGAGAGAACAGCAGAGAAAACTGATGTACAAATACCTAGTTTTTTTCACTGATCTCTCTGCTGAGGAGAGCAAGAGGAATGACCAGCATGAGCAGTGCGCAAGATGACCTTGAGAAATCTCCCAGTTCAATATAATCCCATTTATCTGCCATACAAACCATTTCATCATTATTTCAGAGATTTTCCTCTGTATGAATCTTCCCAAACTGCACCTCAATTTTTCTTCCCTTGTGGTTGCAAAAGCATAAAAACTGCACAATTCTTTCCTTTTTTTTATTACTGTCTCATTCTTATGTCTAAAAGTATCTTGTTGAATAAGTCTTTTTATACACTTCTAATGACATGGCACATTCTATTTTTACAAACAAAGCATAATATTTATATTTCCAAACATGCAAGTGCGTAATTGAAATGAGGAGGACAAGAAAATAAGAGACTGGAATGTTACAGGGATAATCTACATGGACATTGAAAACAACAAAATGAATACAGGAAAGAATAACGAGTGAAGTGGTAAAATCTTTATGTGACGAGAAGAAAACCGGAAGCCTGTGGGTAACTATTACTAACCCATTTTCCACAAGAAGGAATTAAAGCACAGAGACATTAGTAGCTGCCCTAAGAGAAGCAGAGCCTGGATTGGAACCCCAGAGTCCAGCTCCGGTGCCCGTACCCTTAACCCTTACCTCTCCAGGTAGGAGAGGACAACATCTGGGACAACGCTGGCCATCACCTTCTTTCAGGGGTAGGTCTTATCAAACCAGGAAAAGCACCATCATGACTGATAACTCTGTAATACAGGTTCTGTGTGTGTGTGTTTTTTTAACATCTTTACTGGAGTATAATTGCTTTACAATGTTGTGTTACTTTCTGCTTTATAACAGAGTGAATCAGCTATACATATACATATATCCCCATATCCCCTCCCTCTTGTGTCTCCCTCCCCCCCTCCCTATCCCACCCCTTTAGGTGGACACAAAGCACCGAGTTGATCTCTCTGTGCTATGCAGCTGCTTCCCACTAGCTGTCTATTTTACATTTGGGAGTGTATAGATGTCCATGCCACTCTCTCACTTCATCCCAGCTTATTCTTCCCTCTCCCCATGTCCTCAAGTCCATTTTCTACATCTGTGTCTTTATTCCTATCCTGCCCCTGGGTTCTTCAGAACCATTTTTTTTTTCTTTTAGATTCCATATATATATGGAATATATATATGTGTGTGTGTGTGTGTGTGTCTTCGCATACGGTATTTGTTTTTCTCTTTCTGGCTTCCTTCACTCTGTAGGACAGACTCTAGGTCTGTCCACCTCACTACAAATAACTCAATTTCGTTTCTTTTTATGGCTGAGTAATAATCCATTGTACATATGTGCCACATCTTCTTTATCCATTTATCTGTCGATGGACACTCAGGTTGCTTCCATGTCCTGGCTATTGTAAATAGAGCTGCAATGAACATTGTGGTACATGACTCTTTGAATTTGGTTTTCTCAGGGTATATGCCCAGTAGTGGTGTTGCTGGGTCGTATGGTAGTTCTATTTTTAGTTTTTTAAGGAACCTCCATACTGTTCTCCATAGTGGCTGTATCAATTTACATTCCCACCAACAGTGCAAGAGGGTTCCCTTTTCTCCACACCCTCTCCGGCATTTCTTGTTTGTAGATTTTTTGATGATGGCCATTCTGACCAGTGTGAGGTGATACCTCATTGCAGTTTTGATTTGCATTTCTCTAATGAATAGTGATGTTGAGCATCCTTTCATGTGTTTGTTGGCAATCTGTGTATTTTCTTTGGAGAAATGTCTATTTAGGTCTTCTGCCCATTTTTGGATTGGGTTGTTTGTTTTTCTGATATTGAGCTGCATGAGCTGCTTGTCAATTTTGGAGATTAATCCTTTGTCAGTTGCTTTGTTTGCAAATATTTTCTCCCATTCTGAGGGTTGTCTTTTCGTCTTGTTTATGGTTTCCTTTGCTGTGCAAAAGCTTTGAAGTTTCATTAGGTCCCATTTGTTTATTTTTGTTCTTATTTCCATTTCTCTAGGAGGTAGGTCAAAAAGGGTCTGGCTGTGATTTATGTCATAGAGTGTTCTGCCTGTGTTTTCCCCTAAGAGTTTTATAGTGTCTGGCTTTACATTTAGGTCTTTCATCCATTTTGAGTTTATTTTTGTGTATGGTGTTAGGGAGTGTTCTCATTTCATTCTGTTACATGTAGCTGTCAGTTTTCCCAGCACCACTTATTGAAGAGGCTGTCTTTTCTCCATTGTATATTCTTGCCTCCTTTATCAAAAATAAGGCAACCATAGGTGCATGGGTTTATCCCTGGGCTTTCTATCCTGTTCCTTTCATCTATATTTCTGTTTTTGTGCTAGTACCATACTGTCTTGATTACTGTAGCTTTGTAGTATAGTCTGAACTCTAGGAGCCTGACTCCTCCAGCTCCGTTTTTCCTTCTCAAGATTGCTTTGGCTATTCGGGATCTTTTGTGTTTCCATACAAATTGTGAAATTTTTTGTTCTAGTTCTGTGAAAAATGCCATTGGTAATTTGATAGGGATTGCACTGAATCTGTAGATTGCTTTGGGTAGTATAGTCATGTTCACGGTGTTGATTTTTCCAATCCAAGAACATGGTATATCTCTCCATCTGTTTGTATCATCTTTAATTTCTTCACCAATGTCTTATAGTTTTGTGCATACAGGTCTTTTGTCTCCTTAGGTAGG